TGTGCTGTGCTCTTGTATTCACTAATTGACAGCACTTATACACTCACTACCTGTCTCCTTTCCTTTGTCAGCTTCTCGTATGTCCTTGCTGACCCTAGCAAACAGAGCCTGTTCTTAGGTCCCTGGAATCCAAATGAGAATGCTATCACTTTAAAATCCAAAATGGTTGCTACTTGTAAACATTCATACTGGCTGCACCCTCAGTCACTTTAAATATCCAAAATGGCCACTGCTTGTAAACATTCAAGATGGCTGCACCCTCAGTCACTTTAAATGTCCAAAATGGCTGCCACGTGTAAACAATCAAAATGGCTGCGCCCTCTGGACAGCAGAAAGTCCACAGCTCAGTTTGTCTCCCTCCTTGTTGTTTCCCTTCCTAGTCATAGGCCACCAGAGCAGTTGTCCTTGCAGCCCTTGGAGACTGGGACTGATCTTTGGGTCAATTCTCAGGTCCCAATACCACTTGGAAATATTCAGGTTGTTGGTCTCGTCAGAGTAGCTGACAGTCCACAGCTCTGACCATCTCTGTACTCACTGTTTTCGTTCAGGCTTTTCCACTAGTTGGTGCCTAATCCACTTCTGTATAGTTCTTTTCAAAGCTCAAGTTTCCAGGATTATCCTCTGTATTTCTGTCAGTTGGTTTTTCTTTTCTTTGTTGAGGAGGGTCTGTACTGCTTGTCTGCCTATTCCTCCATCTTGCTGGAAGTCCCTTTGCTGTCTTCTTATTGGCCTTTTGCTTTCTTCATGTATGATGTTCTTGATGTCATCCCACAGTTGCTCTGGTTTGTGGTCATAGGTGTTCAGTGCATGAAATCTGTTCTTCAGATGGTCTCTAAATTCAGGTGGGATATAATCAAGGTGATATTTTGGCTCTGGTAGAGTTGTTTAATTGTCCTCAGCTGCAACTTGAACTTACATGTGAGCAATTGATGGTCTGTTGTACAGTCAGCTCCTGGTCTTGTTTTGGCTGAAGATACTGAGCTACTCCATCTCGTCTTCAGACAAATATAGTCCAATTGATTCCTGTGTATTCCATCTGGCAAGGTCCATGTGTATAGCTGTGATAGTTGGAGCTGTGTGTCAACTTGGCTGGACCACAGTTCTATGTGGTTTAAGCAGTTGTGATGTGGTTATTCCCATGATGGGATCAGATGAATATGTTTTGAGCAGCCAATCCATTGAAAGGGAGTTTCCCTAGGGGTGTGACCTGCTTCCA